GTGTTTCCGTGGCCTGCATGTCTGTTGACATGTGGATTTTAAAAACGTCCCTTTCGATGTTAAAGAACGCTCTGGTTCAAAGCCAAGCCCTAAATTCAGGCACTTCCTCACTTGTAAATCTGCATGTTCCTGGGGAGGTGTCACAATTACACCTCCCACACGGTTTTCTCTGCACAATCCGGTTTTGTGTCCCTTCTTCCCACAGTTGGTACCCGCTGGTGGGGCCGTGGCCCAGAGGTGTGGGAGCTTTGGGGCCTGACTGCAGCTTGGCACCCTCCCTAAAACACTTGTTACACCTCTGCCGCCGTGTGTGCCGTGTCAGTCCCAGGATATCGGCGCCCTGCTGGTCTCGCAGAGGTGTGGGAGCTTTGGGGCCTGACTGCAGCTTGGCACCCTCCCTAAAACACTTGTTACACCTCTGCCGCCGTGTGTGCCGTGTCAGTCCCAGGATATCGGCGCCCTGCTGGTCTGAGGACGTCTCTCCTACACCCCACCCTCTGCCTCTCCCCACCCGGAGCTGGGCCCATGACAGGCTTTGCCTCGCTCCTCTGGCATGCTCCTGTTTCTTCCCACAGCCTGACCAGGCAGTGGACCCTGGAGGATGAGGAGGAACAAGCGCGGGAACGCCGCCGGCGAGATCGCCAGCTGAGCTCCACCACTGACCCGGAGGAGGAAACCCCCTCCCCCGCGCCCAACACCAACAAGCCGGCACTGGAGAGGTGGGCAGGGAGAGGGGCTGTTCCGCATGCCAGTGCCCCCCAGCGCATGGCACGTCCGTGCCGCTTGCCTTGCTCTTCTGTGGGAGTCATCCCGTGATGCGGGTGTTGGATCAGGGCCCCAGGGTGTGAAATAGTCAGCACAGGGGGATCCCGGTCTGCTCATGGCCCTGAGAAGGAGAGGGGACTAGTGGGTAGAGCCGGCGACTGGCTGTCACTGTGACACCTTGGGCAAATCACTCCTCCCCCCCATGCCTCAGTTTCCCCATGTGTAAAATGGGGCTAACGAGCTGCACCTTTGCTAGTCCCATTGGGCGCCATGGGAGGCAGATGCGATTGACTGGTAAATCGCTCTTCTCTGACACCAAGCGGGAGGTCAAGATCTTCAAAGCCATCCGGGGGGTTGGACACACGCTTCTTCCATTGGAGCCAGCCATCCGAATCCCACCGGACTCCTTTGGAAATCTCAGTCCTATATTTTATCTATGATCCCACTGGTGTAAATGCTTCCTCCACCTGCTCTCCCAACCCCCTCGCCCGTGCGGTAGCTGCCCCTCCTGGGAAGGGCAGGACATGCTAAGGCTGCTCCGAACATGCCACCTGCTGCTCCCAGCCAAGGAACAAAAGCGGAGCCGCCACCCTGCTCTGCCACCCCCAGCGGTATAGGGGCCACGCAGGTAGTTAACGGATGCCTGTAGAATCTGGATTCTAAGAGGGGTAACTGTGTGGGCAGGGTGCATTGGGGTTGAAGGCGGGGCAGGGGGCGGTTCCAAGGCTGTTAATCTGGCCTGGATTCAGGGGGTGCTGGGGCTCTGTGGGTGCCAGCTCAGTTTCTGTCACGGCAGCTGCCACCCCCAGCGGTATAGGGGCCACGCAGGTAGTTAACGGATGCCTGTAGAATCTGGATTCTAAGAGGGGTAACTGTGTGGGCAGGGTGCATTGGGGTTGAAGGCGGGGCAGGGGGCGGTTCCAAGGCTGTTAATCTGGCCTGGATTCAGGGGGTGCTGGGGCTCTGTGGGTGCCAGCTCAGTTTCTGTCACGGCAGGGTACGGAGCCCGGGGGAAGGGGGGGCGCCACCGGCGGG